GTGTTGAGCAGTCTTTACCTGGGAATGCTAGTGTACTAGTTCATCACTACGGACTCAGAACCAAATCTTCCACATAGCTCTCTCTATTTCTTAGAAGAAACAACACTGTCACCTTTGCTTTTGTTCCTGTCTTCAGTTGTAACTTGGCCATATGATACATGATTCTTTCCTTTGCTGCAGATCATTCTGTGCATGCTTTCACTATGCTAGCAAAATCAGCAACAGCTCTTTGCATGTTTTGAGGGGTTCTCTGCAGGTGTCAGACCGAAAAGAGAACCTGGTTAAAAGGTTGCACCACTTCATCAACCTTGATCAAGACTTCGAGGAATCTGATATCAAGTAGTTTATTCCTAACTAATTTAACTACAGTATAATTTGAAAAGAAAATTTCCTGTTAAAATAAATCCCAAGAGCACAAGAAATTTAACTAGATTGATTCTTGACTCGGAGTGCATGGTTTTTCTTCTAAGAAGATGAGTTCTAGAGATAGATTGTTAGCCTGTACTGGCTTATAGGCCTCTTGAAGTCTCTGTCCTGGTTTGGATCATGCAGATAACATACAGGCCATTCAATCTATTAACCATCTCTGGTCCTGTCTATGGATGCTTGGGGGGGATCCCCTAGCCATTTAAATAATGTAAGGGTCACTTAGATTATTAGGAATTTCTGTCCTGGTTGTGGAATCTTGATATGGCTTAGCGCAACAGATAACACAGATCACCAGACTCTTAATTACTTCCAGTTTCAGCCTTCTGTACAAAGAGATTATATGTTCATCCCTTTGCAAGAATAATCTTAAGTGCTCAATATTCCTTGTTTCTTTGGAGATCCATTATAATAAGGACCTTCATGTTGTGCTCCCAACAAAGTTTGTTTAGATTATATGAGAGAAAAAAAATCAAGTGTATAAATGAGCAATAAATAATGCATATTAAAGTGAACTATTCAATTAGCATATATAATATATTTTTTGCTGAATATCCAGGTTGATGAATATATTCTTTCTTGGTAAATAGTTCCTTACATTTTTCATTCTTAGCAAAATGTTTACTTCTATCTGATTTTGAAAATTCATTTTTAAATGGAAAAGGACTCCTTTGTTTCCATAAAGATGTCTTTTTATGGAGTAAATTCAGCTTTATCAATTCACTAAGCTAAATATACTATGGTACTTCACTGAAATCAAAAGGGCAAAACCAATCTTGAGTACTTAGATTAAGAATTTAAATAAAAGAAAGTTATGATTAAATATATCCTGTCTGGTGGCTGATTTCTTTCAGATAAACTAGTAATTGTTGCTGTATGCAGCATCAAACAATAAAACAAGACTCTGTCTAAGACGGGGTGAAGTTAAGGAGACTGACACCTCCGAGTGTCCTCTGACCTTCACAAATTGGATGTGATGTGTGTGCTGCATTCATATGCATGAACACTACTCGACTTCTATTAAATTTGCCAACATTCCCTAGGTAGAGACTTTATATTTAGCTAATCAAAGTTTATATACTAAAATATGTAAATTCATAGAATGATCCATTGTGCACGTAAAAAGAAACTACTATTCACATCATCTGATGGTGCTGTAATAGCATCCCTCACTTTCACTGCTGCACATCTATTAACTTGTGAGTTCCTAAATGTCTTTATTCCCTGGGGAAACCTAGATGAGGAGATTAGGGCTGAGTTTATAGTTGTCCCTCCCCTTCCCAGAACATTAGAACTTATGTTCTTCTGCCCTATACCCTACCATGTGTGTTAAAATGAACACCATACTGTCACATACTGGTATATTTTCCTGTAGATAAATGACACTTTCTCTGAATGTGCACATCTGTCCCAAACACAAATCCAAACACTAGACATTATCCATAGCCATTCTTTGGGAGTAAATCAACTATTTTTTTTATTTATTAGATATTTACTCACTAACATTTAAATGCTATATAATAATTATCAACTAAATACTGTAAAAGCAACATCTAAGTTTGTTTTTTTACAAAATTTAGGACACAATTAAGTGTATGAGAAAAATTGTAGCACTTCCTCATTTTGAAGTTTACTCATGTCCTCAAAGATTTTAAGAAAGAGATTAGTGATTATTAAGAGATCGGGTTAAAATAATTACCATCTGCTGAGGTCATTAAAAATATGTAACATTTGAAAAAGTAGTAGGACTTGAGATATCTTTTAATTTTTTTCTTTTTAATTAACACATGATAATTTTATGTATTCATGTGTGATGTTTCAAAGTACACATACACTGCAATAATTAAGTCAGAGCAATTAACATTTTCCAATCACTTATGTTTGGGTCTTTGAGCTCTTGTTTGCTAGTTCAAAACAAATCTTAAAATAGATTAGCTTGAACTATAGGCATTGTGCTACGGTACCACAAACCAGTAGGACTTTTTCTTTCAAACTGTATGTTAGCACCTGCAATGACCCTCTGTGTCCAACTGTCTGCCTTTCCTAGACCCTCGTAATCATTTTCTACTTTATTATGCTTAGATATGTATTTTGAAATGAGAACATTTATAATTCTAGTCAAGATATTGGAACTGAAAAATCATATTGAAGCAGAAATACAGAAAATTTATTTGAACGGGAAGGTGAACTAACCAAAAACATAAGCAACATGTATTGCAAAGTCATAAGGATGCATATAGAATCGGTAAATTTTGGGTGGATCACAAAGTGCCTTAAAGTAATTTAATTTTATTAAGTAGACCACATCATTTTGTACATGCTGGAGAAAGTCAAAGAATAAGTGGATACATTTCATTGAAGATGGGCCCTTGGGCCTGGAGAGATGTTCAACAGTTAAGAGGACTGGCTGTTCTCCTAGAGGACCTTTCAATCCACAGTAGTCACACAGCACCCCTAAGTGTCATAATTCCAATTCCAGGGTATCAGATGCACTCCTCTGGCCTTCCTGGGCACCAGAAACACAAATGGTATATAGACATATATGCAAGCCAAAGCTCCATACTCATGAAATTAAAAAAAAAATATGAACAACATATACTTCTGATTATAAATGCAGGTATGGATATGGAGGAAGGTATCATCAGCGAATAAGGATAAACTGGTACAACCCTTATGAAAATCAGTGTGGAGGGTGGAGGTTTCTCAAAAGCCTGGAAACAGATCTACCACATGATCCCCAATTATACCCCACTCTTAGTTATATTCCCAGTTCTGGAAATCACAGAGATCTGCCTGCCTCTTCCAAGTACTGGGATTAAAGATGTATGCCACTACTACCTGACACGCTATATAAAAATTTCACTTCTTTGTTAAGTTTCATTATTCAGTTATTTTGAATAGGATAATATAGTTTAAGATAACATCAGTATTTTGCATATCTTATGAGTACTTAGGAGCCATCAGTTTTCACTTGAAAATAAATGTCCTAGCTAGATTTGAGTTTGCCAATTTAGTTTAAACTTATAATGATCTTTTAATTTATATTGTTCTTTCAGTCAAAAAAATATAATTCCTATTTTGGAGGGGCTTCAGATTATCACTTTTAAAGCATTTTGAAATACATGACCTCTTTTAAATTTAAGATAAATATTAGCATTTAAATTAATTATCATTTAAATTAACTGAAAGGAAAATTGAATACTTTAAAATCCCAGAAATTTAGAGTATTTCAACTGGTACCACTCAAACTCCTTGTATCTGATCTAAATGACTTATTGTCTCAAAGTCTGGTGCTATTTGACTCAGAGGCACATCAGAAACAGAGTTTTCTGGTCTGCATATTATCGTCATCATCATCATCATTTTTTTTTTTTACTATTATCATTATCATTATTTAGTGAAGTAGTTTTACTGGTATCGGTACTTTATCTATGAGTGGTTATAACGTTTCAGATTAAAGCTGTTATTAGAAGTAGCAAGCAGGGATGATCTACGCAAGACATATAAATGAATAATTTAAGACTGAGAAAGACAACATCATAGCAATATTCGGTCCTCTTACAATTACATTAATATTACTGCTAACACAATTTGTGTTTATGTGTTCTAAAACTCTTTTGCAGTGCCGGTTTTGTTATATGCAAGACAAGACAAGCTACCATGAAATGGCATATGCGAATATTAAGACTGAAACTTTATAAAAAAGAATGATTTTCAGAATTCTCTAATTCTGTTGTTAAATCTGTATTTTGCAACATTTGTTCTTTATTTCTGGATAAGTTATCCAGGTTGTCTTTAATTCTTGCTTTAGTCTCCCAAGTTGCTAGAACTAGAAATGTATCATCCCACTTAACTTTTTATTTGGCCTTTTTTGTATATAGTTTCAATCACAGGGTCAGTTTACTATGCCTTCAACTGAGTATAGCCCTGAAATACAGCCAATCACAGTGCCATATTACCCAAAAGAATATCATGAGTTAGTAGAGGTAAAAATGAGAGCTTCTTAAGGATAAACCCCTTTAAAACTTATTTTTGTTAACCTGCATTTACAATAGTATAAATGTTTCATACAAGTGAAAACAATGTTTACATGAGATTACAGAAAGGAGTTGAGCTATTTTAAGCTTGTTTTTCAAACATCCCTATAAATTCTATAAATACAAGACTCTATAGAAATAGGTCCTATAACTGTGTTAATTTCAGAGTTACAAATTGTCACACATTCAAATTTGGACGTACTTAACAAGGGCTCTGATTGGTATAGACAAGGCACAATAAGAAGTGTTTGTATTGTTCTATGTTGTATATTTATTTCTCTGTCTCCTTGTCCATATGTAATATATGTGATATATATAATATACATATAAGATAAGATGTACAAGATATGTATGTTATGTAAGATATATATGTATATAGTATGCACTTTTTATTTCTGTGCTCATGTGGGTGTTTATAATGGTTAAGGATTGGATTAAATAAGTGATTATGTTATAAAGTATTTTAATTATCATTTTTAATCAAAACCACACAGCTATCAAATCACAAATTAAACTGTCTTTTATCTGTGCTCTTACCTTCACATCTTTGACGTTCATCCTCGTTCCCTCCTTTCCCACAAATATGTCATCGATGTCCACAAGGATGTATCTGTCTAAGGACAATGTCAGCCTCTTCCCTGACAGGAAGGAGATGGCGTCTATGAAGATGAGCTTGTGCAGCCAAAAGTTTAAGTTGTTGCCAAAAAGAACTCGCTGGATGCCATCATGAAGCCCCAAGTCCTGAATTATTGTGGCATAAAGTGTTTTGCTGGACGAGAAAGGGAGGGGCTTCTCTGTCTGTAACTCGGTTAAAAGCACTGGCTGGTAGGTAGAATGGTTATATAGGAAAATCGTCCAGTCTTCCCCAGGAAGAGGACCCTTTTCAACCTTAGGGCCTTTGGTAATGTGCAGCAGCGGAGACTGCGGGTTCACAGAGCAGTCCTTCAGAGCTAGATTATTGAATAAGTTCAAAGGAAAACCTTTCAGTTGTGTGGTTGGTAAGCTGTTCTCGTTGGCTTTATGAAAACCAATTATGCTAACACTGTATTCTATACAGTATTTTTCTAAAAGCTCCCGGTTCCATGAGTCCATGCCGACATATTTCAGAATATTTTCATAAATAATCAACGTGTACTTCCCTTTGCCACTATCGGTAAGAGGTGGTATGTCTCCCTTGCCTGGAGCAATGACCATCTGGTACGGAAAACGGCTGGACTCCAAGATTGCTATAATATCTTGACCTAGTTGAGAATACTGGCTCTCTACAAACAGGAGGACAGTGGGGTCCGTTTTGGATGTGTCAATCGGCTTGACGGTTTTCAGCTCTATGGACCGATAAGGGAGGATTTTGATGTCTGCACACTCTGCTTCGGCAGTAGTTTCAATAAGTGTCATTTCCTGTTTGTAGCCAGAGTACAGGAAGTAGGCAGAAATGAGGATGCTCACTAAGCAAAATGTAGCTAAGAGAACAACAAGTGTTCGAAAGCTTCTCCGAAATCTCACAATAAGATTCATTTTAAAAATCAGTGCTTTGCGAGCCTTTTCCGCTTTCTTTCCCTAATGTGCCAAAGAGAACATACTGTAAGATGTTGTAAATTTGCCTTTCCAAATATTCATGTAACCATTGCAAATCATGGGAGATTCTCGAAGTGGTCACAAATGAGTCAAATCTGGTAGGCAGTAAACCAGGAAGGCAACAGCTAAGACGCTCTGTCCAATACCAAGAATTGCTGCAAAGTCCTTAAGCATTATCTGAAAGAGAGGAGAAATGTGATAGCTATGACCAAAACGGAATATTCATGTGTATGATTTATATGCTTGTTGATATCTATGAAACCCATGAAAGACTGCTCTCGCCTTGTTATAGGACAGTATACTAACACTGTCTGCTCACAAACAGGGTCTTAATATTTGACACATAGTCCACTTGGATTTCCTTGGCGTCTAGAAAATCCTCTGCAAGTCTTTTTTGACTTTGCTTAAATATCCACATATATGAGAGAACACATATGGAGATCGTTTTCCACTAGTTATCATGGAAAGCAGAGAAGCAAGGGAAAAAAAAGAGAAATTTAGATGCATGATGTTAATACTTGGATAAATTATTCTGACATAAGATAGTGAACTTTTTCTGAATGCAAAAAGATGAGATATCAATTTTAAGTATTAGAACAGTTCCTCCTAATATGCAATAGTGAAAAGGGAAAAAAACATATGGGACAAGAATCTGTCAACCCAAAGAATAAGCAAATTTAAATGTGACATTTATTTAACATCAGATTGTTCTGAGTGAGGATGATAGATGCATATACCACAATGGTACATGCCTGTGTTCTTAGCCAGCTTATGTTTTAACTACAAGACTATCTTTTATATTCAGTTTTCTCACTTCTCTACCTTTAATGATAATGGTTAGTAATAGTGAAAAAGTTTGTCCTTGTAAGTGTTATAACAGTAATGTTTACTATGCCCTCTGTTGGCTCTAAGAGACCTTGTGAAGATATTGTGTGTGATGTCAAGGAAATGTAGCTTTGTCTTTTCGCTTCTCTTACCCAATGCTCTGCCTCTTAAACTAGATAAAGGACAAGAGCAAGGCGGAGCTTGTAGGTAGGGAAATGGGCCAATGCTAGAATATTACTATACATTTATATCTAATCATTAAGATAAATATATATATATATATATTAAGATATGTATATTGAGATACTTTATCTAATTTAAAAACACATGTGTAAATGAATCATGTAAAATTAAGGAAAATAATTTCAAGATAACAGGAAGGCTATTTGAAAAACTGTTTCACAAATATAAAAATGTATAATATGTTTTCTTAAGGAAGGCAAATTGATATGCTAAAATTTTAGTTTGACCTTCAACCAATCATCCTTGCAGGATGAAACTGACAACCTGCTTGCTAGCAGCAAATAGAATCCTGCAGGAACTCTCTCTTCTGGCTTTCCTGGCTCTCCTGTCCTGGCACAGCAACCACCAGACACATTCTGTGCACTCCTGGTATGTCCAAAAAGCCAATGTTTCCCAAATTAACACACCAAGGAAATCAAATAAGGCTTCAGCTCAAATGTACTAAATCTGACTTTCATTTGTTTTTTTTTCCCTTTTAAAAAACTTATCAACATTAAAAGCATCATGAACCCCCTCTGTTTGTCACAGCAACCGAAGCCTTTCCCAAATGTCAGATGCCTGACAAAGGCCTGACAGCCTTTTAGGAGTTGTCTTCCTTGTCCCATTCTGGAGAGATGGCTCAGTGGTTAAGAGCACTGGCTGTTCTTCCAGAGGACCTGGGTTCAATTCCTAGCACCCACATAGCAGCTCAAAACTGTCTGCAATTCCAGTTCAGGGAAACTATCAGCCTCTTATATGCAGGCAAAAAAGCCAATATACATTAAAATACATAAAGTTTTAAAAAAATGGACTATGAGAACCATCTCCACAAAAGGCACATGTGTGTCTGCATACACCATAAAAAAATAAACAATATATATTTCTAGGTGTTATCCTTCCAAATGATAAGTGGCAGTGGAATGAGTACCTCCTTCATGAACACATCCTTAAGGTTCATATGTTTGAACACAGGTTTCGGGAACAAAGCTTTACAAGTTTTATCTAGTCCTGAAGGAAGTAAATGAAGCAATTATGAAGACTATCGTATTTTAGGTTTGTTGTTTTGTTTTGTTTTATAATGAGAAACTCAATGAGAACTAGATTTAGGGGCTGGGAATAACATTCAAATACATCTGGTGTTTATTACTTGAAAGTCTTCTGGTGAGACGCGTAGCTCAGGAAAGTTTATATGAAATTAGAAAATAACAAGGCTTGCTGCTATTACTTGCTAGTAATGTCAGCTACTTGCTAGTCACTACATGGCATTGCTTGGTTCTGTTGTTCTGTTAACTCATTTTTATTATGGTTTATTTTTTTCCAAAAATTTTTTTATTATTATTTTATGTTTTACATGTCAATCCCAGTTCCCTCTCCCTTCCTCCCTCCCTCTTAACCTTTTTCCCCCTCATAAATGAGAAAATTTAAATTTAGAAGGGTTTTTTTTTTTTAAGGACTGTGGTTACACTGTAAAAAATTATGACTGGGGAGATCTACATTCCACGGGTTGCCCTGTTGATGACTAAGGTGAAGAAAATGAAGGCTTATATTTAAACCCAATGAGAATAGCTTTTATTTCAATGTTAAAAGTTAAAATACTCATACTAGAAATGTGCAGACATACTAGAGAAAATGCAGACAAATAACAGAGGAGAATTAGTTAACTTCCACAAGTTGTAACCTGGAATAAGTAAATTATTGAATAAATATTTAACTACTTGTTTAATGTACCAGTATCCCTTGTGATGAGTTTTCAAATTTGTAATAATTTTACAAAAAGATGTTAACTTTTCCATATATGGAAATGAAATTGGACCATCAGAGAAATATTTACATACTTTGCAGACCATAAAGGTAAGCAGGGCTAAGAACATTACTAGTTATGTTTCTGTGTGAGAGTGTATTTGATCTGTGTTTGTGTGTGTGCATGTATGTATGTGTTTTGTGTTTGAGTGTATGTATATCAGAATAGAAGTCCAGCTCTGAGATTAGCTTTTGTGTCATGGACAAATTGTCTGAGACACACTGCTCAAGAGGTAACAACTCAGGCAAATTTGTTAACCTGGTTTGGTGGGAATTAGAAATATAATTAGTGTTATAGCTCAAGAACAGGTGGCCTATGATGACTGCAATTATGCAAATGTCTCTTGTTAACTTAGTAGAACTGTAGACTAAATATCTGTAGATATCATTATTGGTTATGTGGAGTTCCTATCACCTTCTAGGTTACAATATATCCCAATGTTACTTTTGGGAGCAGACATATGCCATAAATCAAAACTATTTTCCAACCTGAAAGTTCAGAGCAAAGAATAGCTGTTGCATTTAATCAAAATGACAGTGCTTTGGTGTTTAGTGACTTTTCTGAAAACATAACATTTTTTTTTCTATTCTGGTAAATAACCTGTTGATTACTTCCTAAATTTTATATACTTCACATTTTTTTTTCCATTTTTACTGACATAACATAAATTTATTTTAGTGCCCAGAGTGTATATTTTTACTAGTGGAAACTCCTAAAACTACCATTTTCAAACATAATGATAACATTACTACTCCAATATTATATAGTACCATCATATTATGCTAGGTACATAGCTCTGAGCTATCAGCTATATTCACACTCCAAAAGATTATGAAAGGAAGTCAGTAAATAGAAGAGTAAATGTCAGGCAATTTCTTTTATCACTAGTTCTTTCAGATACATAAAGTGTGTATGTACTATTTCCTTGGGTCTCATTTTTGAAGTGGAGAAAAAAACATGATTTTTAAATTACAGTCTATTTTTATGAAAACCATGTTTCAAATATGTAATCATCTCATTTATTTTAAAATATAAGGACATAAAACACTACTCTACTTACATGAGCATTTACTCTGTTTGCGATGTGAAGTTCAAGATATAGTTTTCAAAACACTATTTATCTAAGGTGAACTCTCATTCTAACTCCTCAATTGTCAAAACTTGAAACTTAATTTTAGACTGAAGATTACATCACAGGGCTATAATCTTAACTACTAAATTAACAGTCAAGTCTATAGAACACAGGGGTCAGAATTAACCAGGACTAATGATTTTGGATTGCCTGTGTCTAATTTAAGAGTTCCTGTAATTCCTGACAATTCTTGTGAGCCCTTCAGATGAGTATGGGCAGATCTGCGGCATATGCCTAGGTTTCCTGTAGAAGTAGAAGTGATGTTGATAGAGGGATTTTAGAATTAAGCACAGACCAATCAAAATCAATATAGGCTTGGATTTCCTTATGGATTTTTCCCTTTCTGAAAGAAGTAAAGGCATTTTACCATGCCTCAACAAACGGACAATTATTAAGAAAACATTCTGCATCAGTATAAAATTCAACTATACCTCTTATCATGACCCAAAAAACCTAAGCTCTATTGTTTTAATCTGCTTTTAAGTCAGAAGGTCCTTCAGAGTTCCCAATGCAGCCTGAAATCCTGTGATGGGAGATGTCATTCTGTAAATATGTTTCTCATACTGTTTAATGAATAAAGCACTGTTGGCCAATAAGAAAGCAAGATAGGCGGGACTAGGAGACAAGGAGGATTCGAGAAAGTAGTAAGGAATGGCAGCATGTAGAGACAGGGGAGAACACAACAACAGTCCCTCTCCGGTAAGATGAGACCAAATGGAAATACTTAGATTAATATAAATGGGTAAATACTTAACAGAGCTAGCCAAAAATAAATCAGTAACTGACCAACAGCATTATATCAAATACAGTGTCTCTGTGTGTTATTTGGGGCAGGTGCTGCTGTGGGTCTATGCTGGCAGCAAAAAACCTTACCCCTTACACTCTCTTCATTATTTATTCCTCTGTCTAAAAATCTGTTTGGTTGGTTTTATCTTTTCTTGCTTTTTTTTTTTGATAGTGGATTATTTAATACTTATGCTTAGGGAATTGATATTAAGAATAGGGG